TTCAGAAAAAGGAAAATAATTGTAACAAAGAGCTAGTCCTATATACTCCTCCATAATTTCAAAGCTTGGCCTCCATGGTTTCAATAAGTCATGCAAATGAAATGAGTATAGTTGAACCTTAATGATTCAAACCTTTTAAAGACAAGTACCTCCCATTGACAATTGTTTTTCCAAGTCCCTGTCTGAATTCCCTCAGAAACAATTCATTTAAAGCCTCTCTAACTCAAAGGCTTTCCCTCTCAAACCTCTGTAACTCAAATTGTCATAGGGAATTTTGGCCATTATTTCATTGAAGCAGGAAAGAGAAAAGCAATGTAAGAGTGTAGCTTATCGATGCATTTTGAAAAGATTGAATGATGGGCTGATTGGCCAAACAAACCATTGCTTCCAAGTTCAGCGTCCTCTCAATAACTCATTTGAAAAGCAATTAGACAATTAGAACCCAGAATATCAACAATTACAATTTCCTGCAATTTTTATTAATGCGCAGGGATGATAATTCTTCAACATTTGAAGACTCCACTCGATTTCAATATTCCAAAAATTGAATGCACATCAGAAGCCTGAATTTGGCTGAAGTATATTTACTGTTTATACAATTATATAAAGCAACTTCACTGATTTCAAGTTTTTTTTTAGCTTCATATATTTCAGATAAAATATGATTTTTACGGGTATTTGAAGGAGAAAAATCTCCAGGGAACGTTGAACATCCTTTAAACGGAATCATCAAGGTGTGCTAGATCTAAAAATATCATCAATTTTATCTTCCCGTGATTCATCTTTTTCCCCAGCAAAAATGCTGATTTCCCTAACTTCAAAAACGTTCAATTCCAATTTTTGTGGGTTCCTCATCCGTATTTGACTTGAAGAGGTTTGACTCTACAGCACAGTACATATTGCTATCTGCATTCAGGCTTGGTTCATAAATCCTGATATTTTCTAAAGACGTTATTAGGTGTCATATTTCTCATATTATTGCTGTATCACGTTTTCACGTTGCTTTTCAGTATTGAAAATTTAATGCAATTTCATACATAAAAACGGCGCATCATTAATCCAAACTTATTCTTGAATTTGGAGTGTCCAGGAAGTTCAGTCATAACCACGCAAAGTATGAACTAAATCAGATTGCGGCTTATTTTCGGAAGAAATTTGCATTTATTGTGGTGAGACTGCAGGTATAATCAGCATATTAGCGCACGTAATTATCACGCGTTTTCAAGTACTTCTGTATTCATTACTTACTGTCTCCACCAATTACAGTGCAACTAATATAAAATCTCGTTATATTGTCAAAAATGCCATTGATATAAGTAATATCCATGATATGTATGAACCAAAATTTATAGGATATAGGCTGACCATATAAGAAATGCGTAGAGGAAATATGAAAAGCCAACGTTTGAATTCAATCCACATAAAAATCATTCAGTTGCCTCAAATAGTCCAAATAGATGAGCCTAACCAGCATAACAATGATTTTATTTCTTTAGGATCTATTTCAGGGGTTATCCTTCTTATTGAATTTGCAGAATTTACTGCTTGATTTATTCTTGATGCAGAATTCCTCACAACAAAGGTATTTTATCAGTCATAACTCATAACCCATTGAAGAAGTTGAAACCTTGCAATATTTGCTTAAAAAGGTAGCTTAATATATCCCATAAAATATAACTAAAAACTTTGAGTTAATACCATTGTTTGCCCTTGCACATATTGTGGCACCTAGCGTAGGTGGCCATAATTCAGTCAAGTGTTTTGAAATTAAAGAAAATGAACTTATTAGGTCACTGAGTCCATTTATCAAGAGAGAGAGAGCTCAATAAATAATTTGAGCCTCAAATGTGCCGTTTCTATTTTGTACGTCACCATATTTGATAAGAAAGAATAAAAGAATATACATGTATAGTTATTTTTTCACATTTATTACGTCTTGTAAAATAGCAGAGTTGTCCCTTTAAGTTTAGAGCAAGTTTGAGCTTCATATCAGGTACATCCAGTTCTTTATTTATTACATTTTTTTAAAGGAGTGTGTCATGCAATAATCAAAGTGTTCTATCAATAGAATTTCAGAAATAGTATGCTTAAAGTATGCCTGTGTTTCGGGAGCATGGGCATGTGATTCTCAGTAATAACCCAATTATATCCATGGAAGAGGCCTCAGTTTCTTTAATCTTGTCCCATTTTCCATGCCATACAAGGAAATGCTCATGACAAATTGAATTGAGATTTCCTATGCAAGAAATCAATTGTGGGATATTTGTTCCAGGAGATAAATCGAAGGCTGATTGTAATTGGATCACAAGAAACGTGACGTGACTTCTCTGTATTATACCTGTTATGCTCCATTTTTGGTAGCACAGTATTGTAATTGACGTGGTACTGTTGTTTGATACTGTGTATTATGTACGGTACTCTTTGTGTTCTGTGAGTCGTTTTTGTTCATGTCGATGTTAGAGTGTTGCGTCGCGTTTATTTTTCGTTCGTTCGGGTCGTGGTTTGAGAAAGATTGTTTATACTGATTGTAGTGCATATATTTTGTCGAATGGTTACAGTATTCCCTTTCTGGTTCGGCCCTTCAAGGAGCAAATTTGGTGTAATTGGTTCCATAGCTGCCCTTTGAAGGGCTGATTCCAGAAGGGGTTCTCATCGCTGCATGCTGGTGACCTGCTGGTTGTTGGACAGTTCCTTGATGTTTTTTTTTTCATTTCCTACTGTGTTTGGTTGTCTAAAATGATCAGTGATCCCGGGAGGAATTTCGGGAATATTCATTTCAATACACCAGTGAGATGTACAGTATTACAGGTGGACTCTCTCAAGGAACCAGAAAAAAAATCGTTGTAGAGAGAATTTAGCTGTAGATAACCCCCATAACATAGGAAAAGAACCATTTTCGGGTTGTGACCACAAAACTTTTATTTTTTTTTTTACAGAGAAGATGGTTGTGAAGAGAGTCCACCTGCATTATCTATTTGATTTCGCGCTGGAATGAATTGATGTTTGAAATTTGGGTTCGAGTGCATATATGTATTGAAGGTTGTAATAAAGCTGTTTCCTCTAATAAACTCTTTCTTTTCCTGTCTTCCAAAAAAATGTTTCATTACGTAGAATTTTGCATTCGGTTTCATGAAGGATATTTTCCTTTGTGAGCGTTAAATGTATTCGTGAAAAAAAGTCAGTCCGGAGAGGCGAAGAGAATACTTATACAGGGTCTAATTCTACTGAATATAATTTGAAAAATTCGGAATCAAGACCAGGAAGTGAAAAACTATTACTGTACAATGTTTGACTAGGAATGCGTACAAGACAACACAAAAAAAGTAATATTGGAGCTTGCCATAAATCAGTTCATGTTCATCTCTTCCAGCATTATGAAATAAACCAGATTTTATTTCGTGGCATTGTCTGAATTCTTTCCAACCTCTACAATGAGACATATTCATTCCTTCGTCAAAATATGCGCAGCACAAAATGAAAGTCGAATGAATTACCGTATGCTGTTGAAATTATTTCGAAATCACATTTGCATTTCTCCATTTGGGACCTAGGCGTCAAACGCCTGATAAAAGTGTGAGATCTTGTTACAATTTAAAGGTGGTATACGGGGTATGATGCAGGAAAATTTTCCCAAAATCTCCGAAAGAAAACATTTGAAGGGTTATCGCATTTTTTAAAATTATAAAATCGGGGTTGTTTGATTCCTCAGGAGAACAATGATGAAAAATGGTGCGTGATTGTCATTTGGCACACGGTTCACAGTTTTCTTATTCAGCGCAAACCCCATCAGTACGGTGCTGTCCCAGAAAAAACCATGCGCAAAAAATCAAAAAAAAAAATCAATCAATGCTCGGAAATTGTTGGAGCTGAAAGAGTAAAAATTGTCCAGAAGAAGGAACAGACCAAGGATAGACCCTCAAAAAGCATGTAGATGTGAAAAAATCCAAGGCCAAATGGCCTCAGATCACAAGATGCTTCAGAACCAATCCCAGCCCTCAAAAGAAGAAAATTAGAAGTCAAGAAAATCGCACCACTAACAAATTTGCGCGAAGAAAATTTTCTTGTCATCAGCAGCAGGAAAAATATTGTCAATTATTGGGGCCGTGATCTCAGAGAGATTCCTTGTCTGATGTGAAAATCAGTTGGTTAAAAACTTGTGACTTGGAGACAGAGAGAAATTGGTCAAGTGGTTTCTTTGAGAGGAAAGAGTTGAGCATATTTTTGAGTAGGTTTTAATGAGTTTGGTTGTTCGGGAAATGATTTCAAGTGACTGATAACATATGTCTGTGAATTTTTGTCTGAGATTTGAGTGTTTTTTGAAAATATTTTGCCGTGAAATACTGTACAATTCAACTTAGAATTCAGTCCTTTGTAATTGAGGGCAGGCTGGGCAACTAGCTGATTGAAGGGTCTTCTTGCCTTTGTGTTTTCCTGTCGTTCACTTTGTCTAGGAATTCTGACTTTAAATTTCCCAGAAAAGTGCAGTTAAACAATTTTTTCTCAAGTCTTTGCAAGTTGGTTGAAACAGGATTTTACTGTAGTAAAATTTGGTGAAAATTACAAGATGCTATCGAGTATTTAATTGTATTACTGTATCTCACGAACTTAGTCTACTATCCATATTCCTGAACTGCAATCACGACTATAATTTAAAATGTTGATACATTTCTTGCTGTTCATGTTAATGTTAAATGGTGGTAACTGATCGCAAAAAAAGGTTAAACCTACAAATTTTATTTTCCTGTGAATGACGCAGCATTCATTCAAAAAAGGTTTTTAAGACACTCTTTCTTGAAGGGCATGATTTTAAAATCGATTGAATGTGATTGAGAAAACTCAGAGTTCAGTCCTTGGTCCAGCTTTTTTGAAATACTCTTGGAATACCCAAGGCCAAGAGAAAATGGGAAAACCCTGGTACACAGAAAATCTTTTTAGAGAGAGAATAAACCTACGCATAAAATGTTTGCGTAAGTTTATAACGAAGCACAAATGGAAAAAAATGTTCTTAAAAGCCAAAAACAGCTTTACTCAGATTTCCCCGAATATGCTGAAACATACACGGTTGTCCGGAGATTATCAAAAATATGAGAAATCGCGAAAGTGGCTCACCCACACAAATGAAATCATTCAAATTGTGACATCGCCAGGAAAATATCAATACAATACACAGAAACGGATCGAGTGTCCCGACTCGTACAACACACCCGCTTCAGCATATAACAAGATCGTAATTTTCCATCGCCACCTCCAGCTTGAGATCCCCGATATCCTCTGAAGAAATATTCTTCCACGTTCCGACAGAGATTTTGTTCAAATTTGGACATGAGTCGATAAAAAGGCGTGCTGTCGAAAATCCCAAATTCACGGCTTCCGGAAACGAATCAAATCGGAAACTTCGCAACTGAACCAAAGGATTTACACTCCTCAAAAACTTGTCCCAGAAATCGTCACTCATGAAACCCAACTCTCCACTCAAATAAAGCTCTTGCACATTGAAGGCGTTTCTCAGGCAGAATGTAACTTCTTCTTCGGAAATCGGCTCGTCAGTGAAGTGATTCGTTATGCTGAGAACCTCCAGGCGGCTGCAAGACGACGAAAGGGGAACTTACTTATAAAATCACTTCATCGGGCTTATCCGCCATAATTTAAAGTTCGATCAGAAAATAAAAATTCTGTAATACCTCACTCTTGACCAGATGGCTTAATTATTTATTCATGAGCCACCCTCTCGATTAAAATGTCCAGTTGTTGCACCTCACCATCTAGCAATCCATCTAGCAATTTTTCAAGGATTTAAAATTTTTGGCCTTTGAAAAGTGGGCAGCAGGAATGCAATTCTTGCAACTTTTTCTACACGATTGTATTGATAATGAAAATCGCACGACTTGATGAATTCGGGCGTCAGAATTTAAGGAGCCATGTTCGTATCAAACTAGGCTCCAGAAAATTTCCTCTCATTGCACACGGAACCCACTCAAAAAATTGCGTTCTCGAACAAGGACAATCACGTCAATATGCTCATCTATTACTGGATTCGTCACATATTCCGCGATCACAGACTCTATGGCAAAAGAACCGCTTTTAAATCTAACAATATTCACCTGAATCCCGTACATGTCAACGGGAATTCCGACGCACATCCCGAAGAGTGTTTCCGAATGATCTTCAGTTTTTCCAGATTATGACAATGTCTCCCCAACTCCATCAGCGCCTTCACGGAAAAATCCTCACACGTGAAATTCAGCTCCCTCAAACGGTTCCCAAATGCTGAAATGTACGCTTGGAAAAACGGGCCTCCACCTCCGTGCCGCAATTCCATCGTGATCGAGCTGAGTTTATCGAATTGTCCAAACTCCGCAAATATCTCCTCGTCCATGTACAAAAAGTTCAAATGCGTCACTCGGGGACACGCACTTGCAACATGCCTGAAGTTGACATTGCGGAATGCACGCCGAGGAAGAACACCGTCGCTGTATTCTGACTCCTTTTCCACCAGGTGCGACAAATGTAATGTTGGACTGGAATTCGAATCACCTACAGAAATGAGCAAACGAATTTTATGTCTTAGATTCATTCATTCGAAGTAAGACACATGCAGTGATCACGTGAACGGGATTTCAAGCAGCACGGAATTAAAATTATCGTCAAGATACTGTACAGTACAGTATTTGACTACGTGGGCAATGCACAGAAAAGCTATAAAAAAACGAGGTCGAATCATCATTTAATTCAAAGCATCAACAACAGTGCACAATTATAAAATACTAATTATACGCCGTAGCACTTTTGTATGAATTTCCAAAATATTGCAAAGTGGCTTCGGCGAACATTCGAGGCTGAGATCGCCTTGAGATCCTTCATGCAGTATAAATACGACATAAAATCGAGAAATTTCGACAAAAGTATTGACGTGGGTGAAGAGAAAGAAAAGTATGAAGCATTTCAAGAGTCACATACTTCGAATTTCTTGAAAATACAAATTCGATCTGTTTTCCGTTGAATGACGCAGGAGTGCACGCAAGATCTGATCAAATCTGATCGTGTCAGCCAAAGTTTTTCTAAACTTGAAATTTATTTTAATTGTTCCTTGAGCCTTTACATGAAAATCGGGAAGCGTCCCTTAATTATATAGTCATGAAGAACGCGAGCACAAAGATTTTGTTGTGAAAATTGTAAGAGGTTTGTAACCTGAATTTATTGAAAATACAAAGTCTATCTGTTTTCTTTCGGGTGACGTGTGAGTGCTCGCAGAATCTCATCAACCCTCGTTTACATTGTAATTTTTCCAGAACTTGGGATTTCTTTTAGTATTTTTCCCCAAAAATATTTGCATAAAAAACGGGAAGCGCCCTATACTTAAGCGTTCATGAGAAACAAGCGCCCAAAATTGTGTTTTAAAAATTGCAAGAGGTTTATAACCACATAAATACGTTAACCTCGTCGAAAATCAGATAGGAATCGTGAACTACGCCAGCCTTGCAAATCATGAGCACTTCGAAGTTTGAACATGACTAAATCATCTCGAACCAGGTTTAATACTTACTTGAAACATCTTGAGCCTCAGCAGACGCTTTCTGGAGTTTCAGAAACTCCGTCACAGCACGGAATGAAGAATCATAACCCAAAACGGTCAACTTCTTTAAACCCAGGAGCAATTTGCCAACTGCGGGTGGTGTAACGAGCCAGCATTCGTGGAACCGGAAGCACTCCAAATTCGGACAACCACTTCCGTCCAGGAAATCACCGAAGCAAGCTAATCCTTTGTCGTCGATGCTCGACAAGTTACAGGTCAACTCCACGAGCCTTTTGCAATTCGCAGCGATGCATTGGAGAATTGGAGTGGTTGCTTTCCCCATGAGATTGATGCTTCGAAGGTGACTCAATCGCGGAAGATTTGAGATCAACGCTCGCTACAATTGAAATATCACAATTGAATCATTTTCGTAATTATCTTTCGGAAACGATGACCTCTCAAGAAAGAGCAGAGAAAATGCGCACTCCGACAGCATCGGAGAATTACCATACACGACAACGAGTTTTGCTTGCTTCAACTTAATTGTTACACGTGTCAAACGACATGCGTCTTCACAATCTTCATCTGTCGTTTCATACTTGAATTTTACAAAACAAATACAGTACTTAAACAAGGTCCGAGTTGCATGAGAGATCAAAAAAATCACATTCTTGTCATCACGCCGAAAAACCAGATGGAACGCGTATAATTCTTCTACGCGTTCGAATAAACCCACGCACATTCGGAATCATAAAAATGTGGGATGGATCATCAGAAAATTCACCTCTAATTGTGAGTTGAAGTAACCTGCAATACGACGCTTCCGAAAAACACTCGACAAATCCAAATCCGCAACGTCGAGCTGCAGGAGACACTCAATGAGCTCAAGCAACTTTTGACTGCTTTTACTCGTCCAGGTTACATTCGAATCAAAAAAGGTTTCGATTGAAGACTTGAGGATCTTCCCCGTCAAGTCATACGGGAACGGCCCACCCTGGAAGGATTACAGAAAATAGAATCATTCGAGAGGCTCTGAAATTGAAGTCTATATCAACTCACTTTCAAACTTTGGGAGACGACTGCGGACCGCCCGGCATTATCTGAGCTCAACCACAGGGACACTCGCGATATCACCATTTTTTCTAAAGCCATCGGTCCTTTTCTTTGCGGCATTCTGTTAATTTTTTGGTACAAACGTAGTAAATCGCTAAAAAAAACACAACGCGTGGAAAACTCAACGCTGAATGTGAAGAAAATTCGAATAAAGCGGTATTAGTCAACAGTCTCAACACCATAAAACAATACGCCAGATGAGCAACGAGGTCTGTGTAGTTTCTGAGCGCAGTTGGAAGAATAAGTTCACTAATCTATTTATTATTAGTTGTTAAATTTTTTGTAATCTGATTCAGTCTAGGAGAAAATCTACGCAGCAGATTCGCCTTAATTTTGGCCAAAATATCAATTCACACACGGATCGCGCTGAAAATGGAATTTGGAGCAAAGGGAGCCGCCTTTTTTTTGTTGCAAGAGTTAACGGCAAGAAAATCATTATACTGTACTGTAATGCGAAGATTGACCACGAATAATTCTCGCGTGATCCGATTACCGTAGTTAAATATTTCGAACAGTCGTCGTTTTTAACGACATGATTGACTGAGCGCGGAAACCTGTCAAACCATCATAATTCACAAGACATAGAAAGTGTTTGATGGAGGCTCTTGTATTTCAAAATCACGGGGAATCTCTTCATATCGTGTGGAATCAGCAAAAACAGGTAGAAAATCAATCACTTTTTTAAACAGGCTCGAAAGACAAATAGTTTCTTTTAGTACTCTTCAAGAATGCCTGGGAATGCCAAAAAATTCTTATACAGCAGCTCCGAAACGTGTCGATGACTCGCATCAGGTTCTTTCCGCGGTTTCTTCGCTGAATCACTTTTCGCAACGGGTTCCACAGCACTCGACGCCAGATTACAAAAAACATCATTCGACATCAACACGTCATTACCCTCCCCGTTCCACGATATGGACAAAAATGTGCCTGGAGCACGATCGACATCGCATCGGATCGTTGAATTTTCAGTCTGTTCACGCACTTCAGTTGATTCCTGCACGACGACTTCCGGAATACGAGGTGGTGCCGGTGGAGATGCAGGTTCCGGTGGATCCGTGATGGACGGCATGTTTTTCACCATCCGGTAGTACGTTTCTCCTTCAATTTTCAGCATTTCGGCTTCGTCCGGGTTCGAGACATAGCTCACCAAAACTCGGTCCGGAATGACCTTTCTTGGGAACTCGCGAAGAAATGATCGACCGAGAGGTTCCAGATGATCCCAACCAAATAACCACGTCAGGGCGCTGTGACGAAGTTCCGCTATAAGGCTGTGAATGTCTAGCTTCAAGCCTATGTTTTCGATTCCCAATCGCGTCAAAGTCGTGAAGCAATGGTTGGATTGCAGAAAGTTGGTCGATCCCACGACGTCACTGAATAGAAATTAATGGACATCCCGTGAACCCTTGTTCTGAGTGATTATTCAAATGAATTGCTCGTCCATAAAAATCAGGAAAAATCATCGTTAAAAAGAGGCGGTCCTACTCTTAAATGATTCCAAAGAGTGGGATCAATCGTTAAAAAGCATGCAAGTGAAATACATACAGTTGAACCTCGATAACTCGAACTCTCCAAGACGTATACCTCCCGAAGTCAAATTTTTGTGCAATTCCGTATCGGAATCATCTTAGAAACAATGAATTTAAAACCAACCCAACTCGAAGGCTTTCCCCATCAAACCTTAGTAACAAAAATTTTCAGGAGGCCTTTTGACAATCATTTACATACACAGGAGAGAGAAAAGCAATAAGAATGTAACTTGATGCACTTCGAAAGGAAGTGAAAAAAGAATTGGAAATATGGAAAATGAACCCTTGCCTTCAAGTTCAGCATCCTGTCAAACTCATTTGAGAATGAATGCGAAGCACAGAATATTACCAAATACAATTTACTGCAACTCTTTTCTTTACCCCAACAAAAATGCTTGCTTCCCCAACTCTTAACTTTACTAACTCGAATGTTTTGGCTTATCAAACAAGTTCGACTGTAATATTAATTTCAAATCCTCCGACACCAGACGGTGGATGCGAGATTCCCTCAGCTTTTGCACAAAAATGAAGCATATATGATTGACATACGCGGACTCGCTTACCCTACGAGAATAAATCGGGGGAATTATTCAAGAAAAAAGGTTTGTCATTTCGAAAATGTTCCTAGGTTGGTTACAAGAGAAACCTGCGCGAGGAAAGTTTTTCCCTCCGAGGTTCCTTCCTTAGAATCTCTAAAAGCCCCTCAGAATACATTTACGGTATGTGGAGGATCCTAAAAAAACAATTGTAATTTAAAAACAAAACTGCAGGAGGGGAATTTTTACAATTGTTTAAGGCTCATCTCTATCCACTCGTTATGCAAGAATATTTTTTTCACAGATCGCGAATTAGTTTTTAAAATCTAGATCTCCAGATGGTCTGGCAGATACTGTACTGTATTGTACAGTATCTGCCAATTCTTGATCGAATGTTTGTGAATCGCACGATTTTCGAGAAAACTTCTCTGATTCCGAAATTAAACTGCTGTGTCTTACCTTTCATCTAAATTTCTGTGATGATCACACATGACCGGGCGCATGCAGGCTATTTGATACATGTCTGCTTCTTCAAACACAGGAAGGGCAGTATTCACACAACGAACATCGATCGCTCTCTTCTTTCGGCCAATGTAGGTTGAGGAAAAATCCGTATGGTGCTCTCTGAGAGGCCATTTCTTGTTCGAGGAATTTTCCCAATCGCTGTATTTTCTCTTCAGACCACCGGTATCATTTTCCTAAATGAATAAATAAGTCCTCTGAATCCCAAAAAAGTTCATAATTCAGCGTTTAACGCCTCACTTTTCCAACAGAGCTCCTCGAAAGTTCATCAAGCTTTTTCCTTGCCAAAGCCACGTCTGCCGAGAAGTCCACGTCACTTAGTATTCGGCGATCAACTGACCACGTGTCTTTGTACTTCTCCAATAGCCTGAGTCTTTTCTCGCTTGGTTGGAGCGAAAAGGCAGTTAGCATCAACTCTCTGTTTAAAAGGTCCGCGCTTTTATCGAAAACCAGAGTCGCCATTTCTTCCATCAAACACGCAATGCTCGCTCTGCATGACTTTGCTTCTGCTTCCAAGTTATTGGATTCGAGCTGGTTCAGCTTCTCAGCCTCGGCTGACCAAAGGATCACCCACGCTTTGATCACAGTTGTGAGAGAGAAATTCTTCGCTCTCAGCTGTGAACACAATTTTTGAAAATGTATAACCTCTTTTTCCTCGTATCACTTGAGGACAAAAACAAAGAAGACAGGCCTTTCCGTTCTCATATTTTTTGAGCATAGCCAGAAACCACAAGAACGCGTACACCAAACGATTACATCTTCACTCACATTCAAATAGTTCAAGCAATGAGGTGTTTGAAATGGAGTAACCGTATTGGATTATTCCGTGAAGCTCATTTACTCGCACATAACCATGAGGTAAATTTCCGGAAAGAAGTTCAACTGAAGTTTGAATTTTGTCGTGCATGAACTTTTCACGAACTATTGTTCGTGATGTGTGTGTAAGTCAGGGGTTGGTTTTTTGTCGAAAAAATATAAAATGATGTGAAAATCAAGTATAATAAAAGTAGGATAAAATCGTATTCCTCTAAAAATCAAAATGCAGTGCTGTAACCCTGTTATGCATAAATTATATCCAGCTAATGACCCAAAGAAGAAAATTATGTCATTTTTGTGTTCGTTCATTTTTTTTTAATTGGAAACCTCTCACAGACATTCCAAACTTGTCGATGGATTATTATCGAAGTAAAATTAATTGGCAGAAGTGGTGGCGGCTCATTTGGGGGCGTATTACCCGGGTTCGAATGTATTTGAAAACAACCTTGTTAATGCAAATATTCAACTCACACAACACGTAATTGTCCGGGCACATTCTGTTACACTCTCTTCTCGGCCGCCTCTGATACAGGAATGCAATTTCATGACGATTTCGCAGACGCTTTTTTCCTGGTATTCTTCTCCCACTGCCTCCCAATGCGTGTTCAGAAAATGCTGGAATAGAAACGCCGCAGATTAAAACCCAGACAACGATGAGTTGACGTTGATTTACTCTTCACAAGTTGCACGGGCTTACTCAGTATTCAGGGTTTTCAAATTACGAGATCATTTTTGAATATTATCTTGAAAACCTCGTCAGTCTCAAGTACAGTACAGTACATTGAAAATCAACACAGACAAATACTCTATACGGAACATGCGCATAAACCCGAACTGTCTTCTAAAATCCAAATTATGACACATGCGACGGACAATGCCGAAAATTGAGAGCACAATGAATTTATTTTGTACACGAAAAAAAAAGCAATTTAAAAAAATTTTAATTGACAAATGCGTGATAATTTCGACTAAATGACTGAAGTATTTTACCTCAACACTGTTGTCCAAATAATGGGATTTAGCATTTGGCAATCCAGCAGTAGCCCAGATCAACAATCCAGGATCTTTTGCAAGCTTCGATTGACTGCTAGTATCACCATCCTCGGAAACGACCGGATAAGTAGGAACTGAATCATTAATCATCTGACGAACCACTCTGACTGCATCTGCACAATGCGAAATCTGCAGAAATAAAATCAAAGCGATTAAAAACGCTGAAAAGCTACAACTAATAAGGTGAAATTCATCAGCTAAGAGACCAGAATAAACTACTATTCATTTGTCTGGGGTTTGCAGACAAATGGACACGAAATTTCCGTCAAAAGGGAGGCATAACAGCAAAAACGCTCGGGGGCAGCATCAAATCGAAAAAAAAATTGCGATGAGTGGAGGGAAAATGAGAAGATATCTTCAGCATTTTTAGGGCCAGTCCCAGTGTGTTTCTTCCGATATTAATCTCAAGTTCTGAACAACAAAGAGACAGAAATCGTTTTCATCATGACGCCACTGACTCCCTCCCATTTTGATAACGAGTAAGAGTATTGAAAAAAGACAAATTTTCCATCCAGACGCCAACCACTTCAAATTGCGTTGATTCGAGGATTTTCATTCACAAATGTCCTACCTTCCTTGAAGATTTTTTTTTTCAGAATTATTTATTCGCAAAAATCCCGAAAATTGAACAAATTTTACGGTTTTTTTTAAATGCGCGATCTCCCATTCAATTCGTAAATTTAGGGAAAAATAACGCAGAGGTGAACATACTTTACTCCAGAAGTCCTGGAAAGATCCGTACGTCTTGTACATCAGCTCCATTTGTCTCTCCAGCAAACTGCTCAGCATAAATTTTCTTTGCTCGACTGTCGTTGTCCAGTCCACCTCGATGTTTTGCGGGGTGATGAGAGCCATTATGACCCAGGAACACAAGTTTAAGGCGGCGTCGTATGCTTGCAACTTGCAGAGAAAATCCAGCCGGAACATTATCAACGGACCTTCTTGCAACACAAAATCGGTCGCCATCGTCAGATGGTCTGCAAGAAACATTTCCAGAAAATTATGCCTGAAAATCTCACGAATATTCAGAGGAAGACAGAAACTGGAGGAGGATTTCTCGCTCTAAGAGTTAGGCGCACGGCTTTTCCGAGCACAATTCGGTGCTGTTTTTGCTTTCCACAATGTCCAACACGAGTCACTTAATATTCAATGCTGAAGAAAATTATTTTACCAAGCCAAATAAGTTTCAACACCATCGAAACAAAAGCCCCAAAATTAGATAAAAACAAAATATCTGAACACGGTACCTGTATGAAGTAATCGAAAATTCACATATTTGATAAGAAAATCAAGAGAGTTTAACTTCCGATCACTTGAAGAATAATTCAACAGTAACACAATATTCGCAAAAATTCTGGAATTAAATTTAAAATAATATCAGATCACTCGATGAATAAATTTACAGGAACACACATCCGTAAAAATGACATTCGATGACTTGATGAATAATTTTGCAGGAACATAAATTCTGGCGTTAACTTTAAAAGAACATCATTCGATGAATAATTTTACAGGAACACAAATCCGTAAGAATAAAATCGGATCACTCAATAAATACTCCTGTATTGAACACGAAACGAAAAAATAAGATCCGATTACTAGATGAATAATTTTGCAGGAATACAAAATTCTGGCGTTAAATTTAAAATAACATCCGATCGCGTGATGAACAGTTTTACAGTAACACGAAGTCGGTCCATCGGAGTTCTTAAAGCACTGGTTTGAAAACTCAAGAACAATCCCCATTAGGAAGCTGGGGTTTTACCCTTGCAGGCTTCTTCTGGAAGATTCCTAGTCATGATATGCAAATCCTCGCGCGTGTGGTTTTCTTCGAGCTCCCGGAAAAATCGAATTTCGTGGCCAAAATCGCAAAGCCCGCTTTCCCTCCAAACACCGCGGAATTTGAAATCCGCATATTCCAGAACTGAAGTCAGCAAATTCGTGCGACGAGGATCACCTCTTCCAACCGGGCCAAGGACAAGGAAAACTAATGCTCTAGGAAGAAAAGAAAAAAAGAAGCCGTGAAATATTTAAAATTAAGGGCTTTTATCAGTTATCACCTTCCGACTTTCTCGAGATTCTCTGGATCTTCGTAAGCAATCAACTGGTTGCGAATGAAACAACAATCTTCGACCATTCCCCGAGAAGTAAAATTCAATATGTCTGCCATCCGGGCACTGGTTTCCACTTCATCCATCCTTCAATACTTCTCTGAAAACCTGGAGAAAAGAAGACCACTTCTTCAGAACAATTTTATAGCAAAATTTAAAACGAGGTGTTTGTCATAATGAGAAGCGCAAGCTCATGTGAACTTTAAAGGAGGAGCTCTTCTTTGCATGAAAAGATTTCAGGCGGAAAAATAATAAGAGAGGGATCTTTCAAAGCAGAGGTAAAATAATTAAACTTTCTAATGGGAAAGCAACGAAAGAAGAAATTTAAATGCAGCATAAATTTACAAAAATTGAGCGTTTTCGAATCAAAGCCTCTTTCCATTTCCTTTTCAAATGCCCACGGAAAATAAACATCGATCAAAACGTTTTCAATAGCAATCCATTAAAACGGAATCGTTTTCAGCGTTGTCAATCCCGAAGTGGATCAGAACATCATCAAGGTATGATTCAATTTCAGACACTTTCTGCGTTTGTTGCAATTTCTCTTCATTTTTCGCCAACATGCTCCGGAAAATTCCCAGGCACGCGTCCACGGAAATCTTCTGCATCTTCTCCCACGATTGAATATCCGGCTGAGTTCCGGAGTCGCTTTCTGAATGCATCGGAACAGTCATGCGCTTCCACACGGCTTCGACATCCGAACCATCCAGGAGGGCTTCGATGACTTCGTCTCGATCAACACTGTTGGCCGAGTCCACTTCAGAAATGGTATTGGACGCGTGGACACTTCTTGGTCGGGAAAACAGCGAATCGTATGAACTCGCATACTTCGTTATCATGTCGTACCTAACGAGGACCTTCATCAAGTAGCCTGAAAAGAGCAAATAGCAATACATGAACGACTGAGCCCCGAATATTTCAAGATTCAAGTGAAACTTCGAATGAAAGAAGCGGCTGGGAATGGAGAGACTTGAACGGAGATGCAGTAGTGCACTCAATTGACATTAGCATCAACAACATTGGAACTTTTTATAACTTGGATCGTTATAACGAAGCGGCGGGGACCAGGAAAACTTTTTCGTAATAAATATAAATTCAGAGCGCTTCAACTAACATAATGGGTATTGGGCAGGATCTTTAAGAACGAATTCGTTGTCAGCACAATCATTCGTTTTAACGAGATTCTACTGCATCGTGAACTTCGGGCATGTGCCGCCTGGATCACCAGCCAAAATGGCCGAATTGAACATACGTAAAGTCAAACGAATTGAAACGCTACCAAGTTTGATAAGAACTAACCAAATTCAACACAAATAAACTCATGAATCTATTTTCGACATAAAAACAGTAAATGTAGAAAGACTCATGCGACAAAAATGTACGGAAATGTTGAAGAAAATTCCGCGATTCGGTTAAAATTTTGTTAAAAAGTGAAAATGAATTCAAGCAAAAAACCCAAGGACATTAAAAATGCGCGCCATAAAAATTGGTCGTCCCGCACTTCTTTGCGAAGACATTATTAATGCTCAGTTACACAGGACTCGCATGTCAAGTCTCATGACTTTAAAAAATACAGTATAATGTACAGTAATGTGATAAATTTTGATTAGAAACCATGAAAAATAAATACCCATCCTATTCATATAGTGCTATTCAACTCTTCTGAACACTGCTCAGAAACAAAAAGGGCATTAAGAAACGGCTATCATTAATTTTTGTGGAGAACAAAAACGTTCACAGTGAAAGTCAAAACGACGTATTCGCCGTAATGGGAAGCGCACGTCTGTGAGCTCTAAACGAAGAGCTCCTTCTCAAGGCGCCATATAATAAATTCAGTTAGACAAATAGCAATACAAGTCTGTATAACGCACCTAGAACATCCATTGCCCGGTGTCGAACAGTAGCTTCCAGGTCACACTCCACGTCCAGTAAACTTACCATGCATCCATTGCTGCACAAATTATCAAGGCATTCGCGGAGTCTCTGTCGAGCAACCTCGTCGGTCATATTGATGATTCGATTCAACGTCGTGTCAAAAATCGTTGGCGGAAAAACGCCATCGATCACCCCGACACGATTCAAGGCGTCGTCAATCACCCAACGCCAGAATTCCAAAGCGTTCAGCTTTGATTCCCAGTCGATATCCGTATCACACAAATGCGTAATCGTGTTGCAGATGAGGCTGAATTCTGCAGAATCCACCTAACCCAATCGGAAAAAATTAGGGAAACTGGTACACAAAAGTCACCTATCGAAACGAAATATTTTCGAAAAAAATCTAATCCAACCTGATCCATTCACTTTAGACATTGAACAAAAATCTGTGACAGTTCAAATTAAAAAATCAATAAAAACGAAATTAAACATTTGAAATATCGTGTAAGAAAATGGCCCGATTTCTGCATAGCAATACCTGTACTCTCCCATGGTAACACAGTTCCCGCAAATACAGCACGGCTTTTCTTCGACAAAAGCACTCCGCATTTCTGGCGATCAGGTTGACGGCTTGTTGCTGGAAATGAGAATAAAGCCCAAAAAAGCTGAAACTCGAAAAAAAACTATAAAAACGAAAGCTAAAATGAGTAGAAAACAATTTCAGATTTTCTTCTCTAAAAAAATGTATCGTCTGACAGTCCAGCAACTTTAATGCCTCAGGAGGACCGATTTTTTTCGCTGGAGAGAAAAAAGCGCTCCACTACACGTGTAAGAATTGCATCTACGCATAAACCTAATATTATTTCACCAAATATTCTCGATAGGTGCATCCCATTTCGCGGTTCTCGTGATTCAAGATCTGAAAAATTTCATAAGTACGGCTCTTTCTCGAGTTTAAACTTGAAACTTCTACTTCAGCATCTTGAAAATCATTGCAAAACCTTCGAGGAATCAAACAAATAACTGAAGAAGGTTTGGTTTTATTTTCGAAAATAAACCTACCTATTTTTTCCAAACGCGCACAATTCTACAATCCCCGTTAAACGCATTGTCACGCAGATTTTCGCTATCAATTTTCATTCGGTCTTCTCGAGAATATCTGTATAAAGTGTATACGCAATAGTGAATTTTCCCACTTCATTAATGCGCAGTTTTTTTAATCCATAAACTATGCAGTTCAGATATGTAGTGACGGAAGCACATGAGCGCAAATGCAAAATCTTTTAAATACATTACTTGCAAAAAAATCCACAAGACTAACCACGAAATTGCCATGCGTTTTCTCAAACTCGGTCCAAATGCTAGGAATTCCTACAGCCGATGTCAGAAGTTGGTAACCCGACGCTCGGACGTAACTTTCGCCATCCTTCAACGCATCCACAGCCAACTCGAGCATGTTGTGCTCAACCAACCATTCCCGAAGCGGAATGCAACCTGAAAGAACGCCATCATTCATCTTCCTCTCGTCACTCATCGAATTTCGACGTCTTCTTTCATCTTATTGTCTCAACAAAAATGTCAATAAGAAGAACAATTTTTGCACATGCTCACTTGCAACTGAAGCTTCGACAAAAACAGTCAACGTTTCGAGAACAGAATCTCGCAGCTCCCAATCTACATGGGACGCTCTGACTTTGAGTGATCGGGCCAGGTAGTGAGAAGAGAACTTTTTGCTTGACAGTTCTGAATGCGAAAGCGCTATTTCCAGGGGTAACGCATTTACTTTTAAGGCCTGCTGCAAGGTTCTGAATCCCTTGATCACCACCTAAAAAAGTGACGCAATTTTCGATCATTTCATGTCTGATAGGAACTTGCATCTTTACTCTCGTCTACAGTTTGCACAAGCAATTCTAAACGTAAATCTGATAATTTTTCGGGACTCACGCACCTTAGTGGAAATATCCGACCGATCACACAAGTAGCAAATCGTATAAATCAGGCAAACAGATTCATACGAATCGCCCAAAGTCAGCCTGTATGAACTCAAAGTACACGAGAGTAAATCAAGCGCTGCCACTTGGAGTTGCTGAGAGGCAGGATTGCACACGTAGCCTTGCAAAACGATCAGCATCATTCCGGCTTGCAACGCAGTCACCGAATTTTCCTGCAATTTTGTAGAGCAACTGGGATTAAACCAAACCGGAAATTCAGATATACAGCTGTATGGAGGAATCCTTTGCAGCCTTGTTCTCTTAACATTCAACGGCCTTTTTCTTCGGAAGTTAGTAGATAAAAGAAACATTTCAAAACTTGGAAGTTTCGCGGTTGGAGTTATCATGGGGAAAAAAGAAACGTGAAGTTAATTCCGTAATTTTTCAATGTTGCGTCATTTCATAGCTTCAGCTGGATTTGTACAACGACTACGACCGTGAAAATATGTATCGTATCCACCGTGTAGCAATACAGTATGTGCTTACGAACGAAGTCGAAACACACCTCACTTCTGCGTTCGATTCTGTCAGTACTCTGAATCACGCGCACACACATACCCACGCCATTTTGAAGCAATATATCATGCGATTGTATAAAATATGCTCAAAGCGTATTCCCTAATTTGCAACATTAGCCAGCATGTGTTCTCCCGAAGTTGAACTTATCCTACGATTGAAGGAAAGCCCGAAGATGATTCTCTCAACCATCCCGACCACAAAATTGATCCAGGTAAAAAAAAAATTGACTAGAAGCTGCTTTGGAAGACACAGGGGCCATCTTCAAAAAAGTAATCTCAACTTTTTTAATTTAAATAGATCGCAGACTAGCAACACTAAATGTCAGATACGTATTACGTGCATTTTCTATATGGCTATGGTAGTCATACCAACGAAGCTGAAGCTACAAAATCGCAACGTAATCGAATGAAACCCAATTGGAATTTTTTTTAGCTCCAAACATACAGGAGATATCAGCTTCTGGAAATTTGTGTCCTTTCTTCTCCAGCCTAACTCAATTTATCCAATATTATTTTAAATAATAAAAATGGAATTTCACCTTGGATAGAAGATGGGAAATACCACGTAGCCCGTGTGCAGCTTGGATCGCCAGTTGAGTGAGCTGATTCGGCTGAAGCTCCTTAATGAACATCCTCAATTTCTCGACGACGGCTTTATAAGCCTCATCGTTTTTTTCTATGCGTGCAGAAACGTTTTTATAAACTCCGTCCAAACACCCGATGTGGAACCGGAAAAAATAGCCCAACACAGGGACAATTTGCACAGAAACGAAGAAAAGCTGCACTGGGTCATCGTCAAATCGGACGTCAAATTTGTTTTTCAAATAGCTCCACGCGTGATGAGCAGCTGAGGTCATCGTGGCGAGTAATTCGTATCGTCCGCTACAAACTGCAGAACCGAACAACTCTGCCACTCGTTTCACAAATGAAGCGTAACCAAACGAAGTTCCGCCGGTGGGCAAAGATTCCGCAGCCAGTTGTGCGTGCAAATAAATGTTCAAGATTTGCAATCGAGGCAACAACGGCGCAGACATCTTTTTCGCAGCTTCCACAGCCAAAATCCCGTCGATAATATCACACAACTTCTCCAGATTTTTCGAGCCCACGTTGGAAGAAAAGCAAATTGAGCTCTTCAAAACTTGTTCCAAACTGGTGCACATCGCTCCAGAGTATCCCAACGCAATTCTCGCATTTTCGCCTTCAAACGTCGCTTTGGAAGACGAACTGGTTCTGAAGAAATCGATGATCCGCTCCATGATTCCGGAAGTTCTGGATTTTTCGAGGGCTTTCACTATCACTTTCTGAGCTTCGCGGGAGACGAAAACGCTGCTGTGTCCAATTGCTTGAACGACGCATCTTTCCAAGAGACCTGATCGAAACACAAAAACACATTCAAGAGTCGACGTACTCATCCAACACGATCTGGACATCATGAAAAGTGCACCTCTATTCTCCATTTCACACCGCGGAGAATAATGTACAGTACTGTATTTTGAAATCTCTACGCATGAATTTAGTAAAATGCTGGAATATCACCCGAATCTGTCGCATAGACGCTCAATAATGTATCAGTAAACATCAGTATACAGAAGAGTGCCATAACGTTGAAGCTCCGCGATAGATCCATGATTCATGCGATAACTGTCATCGAATGAATTTTAATGAGTTGTTTTAGAAAGGGTAAAGATCAATAGGAAGCCGGAATTCAATTTCAATTCACAAAAAATCGTGTTCCGTCTATTCTCGTCAGCACATTGACGCTGGGGGAACAAGGGGTTTTTTGGGTTTCTCGGGTTAATATGGAATGAGAACGAATTTTTCAACTGTTTTCGTCTTAACGCCCTTCTTTTGAAACTTTCTCGACAGATAGAGCATCAATTTTAACCCATCAGATGCACGTTTCATCCAAGTTCTGAAGCATTCCAAAGTGTTGACAACTGCATCACTGCATAAGAACACAATACCAATTATTCTCACTAGCTTTCGAATATTCCTTGGTTAAGTCAACATTTCTGAATGATGCTGCCATGCTTTTTCATTTCCAAGAATCACGAAGAATTCAGTGGGCCGTCATGAAGTTAACAAAATACAACCAACCTGTATTCGCGACTTTCTCCGAATACGCTGAAGAATCCAGGCATGCCGAAACGAACTGCAAGCAGCAAATTTTGACCACGGGTTCAGAAAAGTCCTCACTCGCTGCCAATTGGTTAATCAGTTCAAAAAGTCGTATTTCGTCTTCCAGCTTAGCGGCAACAACCGGATTCTGTAAGCACCGTTTCACCAAAGAAAACGCAACTTTGCGCAAATCCTTGTGACGAGGCCCTCCATCAGTGGCGAGCGCAAACTTGATGAAGTTTTTCACGCTATCTTCCTGTGATAGCTCACTCGTCGTAACATCATCTGCAGCATTCAAATCAATTTCAGGTGAACTAAAAAATACATCAGATTATTTCTTTCTTCCACACCTTGTTCGATGGCAGAACAAATCTTCTCCATGAGCGCATCATCTTTCACGCTGCTGTTCGCTTGAATCAGTGCGTTCAATGCGCCACGCAACTTCACGATCATTATCGCCTGCAAAAACATAATAAAAGTATTCGGCATTAAAAGGTCACAGATCTTCAACATTTTCACGAGTTCAAGATCTTGGCGAAAATACCGCATTTTACGCGAATACGAGAGCAATTTCTCATAGCAGTAAATTGCCATAAGTCTCCGATTCACAATCCATTTACATAATTGACGGGTAGATTCAAACAATAATAAATCTCAACTCTTTCAAAATCGTTTTAAAATTGAAGATCGGTTGAACTATCGGGATTACGTGCAGAAAAAATTAAATTTGAAGAGGGAGTGCGAGGAAGTACTGTACACTCTTTTTTAATCTACTTCAGTACTCCAGATATTTCCGAGACTTGGTAGTCAATAAAACATTGTCTAATCCGACTTGGGGAGCCTTTTTTCTTCCCTGTGAAACGAAGTTTCTGTTACACTACGAAGCTTGTGAAAAGTGCATCAGAATCTATGATGTCTCTAATATTCGCTAAAGCACGGCATTTTTCATGAGTTGAAGCTTTCAAAAAAGTGATGGATGTATCCGTTGTCGAGTAGAGATATTTTCGTACATTCGGCACACAGGGCATTGCACTCAGATCACCTCAACTTCACCTTCATTCTAAAGAAAAAAAAAAACTCTCCCTCAGGAAAAAAATCACGCACCTTGGTTAGCAATGAAAATTCTAGTGACAAAAATAACCCAACTGCTCAAAATGGCTCACATTCAATCAATGCCTCGACATATGCACCTTCTCGCAAACCTGGTATAAGGGAGAGAAACGTCGGACACATTCAAGCTTTTGCTTCTGCAGTCTCCAGAACAGACAAGCCCATAAAACGAACACTCCTTGAAATAACGCACATTCAAATCCGCAAGCTCATCGTGCAGCGACAACTGCGCTATTCTCTAAACCGGAAAAACTGCAGCTCCTTCGTTTTTTTTTAATTTCTGACAACAGGGTGTCGTAAAAAAAATTGTATCGTAGAAGACTCACTATCTATCCCTTGTTTCATGAATTTACTCGAAATTGGGCGCATTTCAGGTGCCAAGCGAAATTTGACGATGCCAGTAGAGCAGCCCCCCACAAAATGACTCCTTCGAATGCTTAAAAACTAGCATGCAACGTCTTCCAACTAGCAAATGAGCCAGATTAGAATAGGATACGACGGGATCTTATGTCAATTATTTCAAACGACTGAATGAATCTTCAGCGCGCCAGTTGCGTTATAAGCGCTGCGCACATCTCAAAAAACTCCATAGTATGATGGGCCCCAGGCTCGGATCCTGCAGAAGAACTCGAGCCAATATTCGGTTCAGACACTGACACCGTTGGGGACTGAGCTTCCAAGCTCAAGTCCAAAGTGCTTGAATCATCAGCCCTCCCTGGAAGACTCTTGAAATCCAATAGATAGGATTTGAAATCAACTTGGTACAGTTGCAGCATCATCTTCGAGTACTGTCCGGACACGGGGTTCTTCCGACGAACTCTCACTTGAAAGGGGTTCACGGTCTTCCATTCAAGATGAAGCGCCTTCATAGCTCTGAAAAATATTTAAAAAAAGTTTAGAAGAAATTCTTGGGGATAATCAAATTAAATTAATATCAAGAGTCGAACGTTAACCGATAGCTATCAATGTCAAATAGCCTTTTACACTGATCGTAGTACGGCGCTTTAAACGGAGTAACTTTCAACATAATTCGGCCTGCGATTAACAATGAAATACTGTACTTAACAAGGAATTGAATACAGAAAGCAGAACATAATACATGAAGGTAAGCGCAGCGGAACGAAAATTTGGCCAATTGGCTCCATGTTTTTCAAGAAAAATATTTGTACTTGTCCGGTATTCAATTTCTTAAAACTTGAACTATGCAAACTCATAAACGATCCTATACTAGGAACCGAACAAAATGATTCACGTTTACACATTCGTTTTAATTATATGCATGAGACCTGCTAGCCATTTTCAACATTTTTCAGGCTTCATAACAAGGCCAGATCAATTAAATAATTGTCGCGAGACACACACTAGAACTCGTCTAAGCGTTGAAGCCCCCAAACTCCTGAATATACAGTAGTTCGAAATAGGAAAGTTGAAGAAGAAAAGGTTTCGAGATGCTTTTGGCAGTTGATAACCTTGCTGAAAAGCATGTAGCAAACTTGGGGGTGATTCTGTCAAGGTCTGGACACAGAGAAGATAAATCGCCAAACAATTCACACTTTTCATCCCTACCTCTACATGTACGGTATTTCTCATATTCAGGCATAAAACTTACGTCGGCCTCATATTTTCTTCATGTCATCAAATGCAAAGGGCAGGGCACAAAATGAATTGATAAAGTACTGGTTCGAGAACAAATATTACCTGTACACTTCATGCATAATATCATGCGGTTTGCTCTGGCTGCGAATGCCAAGATGCCATTTAGCACGTTTGGCTTGGTAAGCAGGGGCTTTCTTTGAAGATCCGACATCTCCAGGGGGATCATCCTTTCCGTGGCTATCAGGGGTTGCGCTGTGGCGATCCACATTCGGCGCAATGCGTTCCGGATGAATCTTATCCAGCTTGCCTCCTTCAGAACCCGACGGACCGTGATAGAAGTCTTGTACAGAGAACATCGACAGTTCTTCAAATTTTTTGTTGTCCAAGACCAGGTGATAAGCAATGGACAACTGGTCGTGCACATCGCCACTCAGCAGCGCAGCATGAACCTCCTGTTCGGAGACTTGAAACTTTTCACAAACTTCATGTACTACATCCGTGTCGATGATAGACGAATCTTGCTGAAAACCAAAAAGAAAATATGCACAGAGGTTCAAGAATGTTACTTGAAAAGTACGGTAAAGAGCCAGGGACATATTAGGTTTCGAAATTGATAGGAACCCCTTTGAATTTCGAAGCTGAGATAAAAGCGTCAGGCCTTAGCTCCAACTCGTTATTCGGTGCCTGAACAGACAAAGTATTCTGAATCGATGAAGTACCAACCGTTATACCTCAGCTTCGAATCACTCGCTTTTGGGAACAGTGACAAAACACATGCTTGAGAAGGAGCAAAAGTTTCACCATTTCTGCTACCTGTTCAGTAGGAGCAGGGAACAAGTAAGACGGGAGTTCCTTGGAAAACCATTCGTGTTTTTTGATGTCGTCGATTGTCGCACGTTTCAAGGGGTCTACTTGCATCATGTGACATAGAAGACTTGTCACAGGTTTGTTCAAATAATCGGGAATCGGGAAAATTCCAGACTTGATCTTCCGGAACAGCGTGGGTACGTGTTCGTCGTCAAAAGGCAACGTGCCGCACAGCAACGCATACAAAATTACTCCACATGACCAGATATCCACTTCCGGACCCGCATACAGCTTCCCAGAAATTACTTCAGGCGCAGCGTAATTTGGGGAGCCGCAAGATGTCCGCAGGAATTCGCCATCAAGCATCATGTTCGATAGACCAAAATCAGCTATCTTCACGTGTAGGTTAGAATCTAGCAACAGATTTTCTGGCTTCAAGTCGCGGTGAACTATCATGTGCCGATGGCAGTAGTCGACGCCAGATATTATCTGCTGGAAAAATCTACGTGCTTCATGTTCCTTCAAGCGACCGTGCTTCACGATGTAATCGAAGAGCTCCCCACCAGATACATATTCCATCACCATGAAGATATCAGAAGGCGTGCTGATAACCTGGGAAAAGAAATCCACACGTTAACGCCAATAAATTTCACAAATAGAATGCATTTGTGGTGAGCCCAAGAAGCAGGAGGTAACGAACCTGGTAAAGTTTGATAATATGTGGATGACGGAAGAGCTTCATATTTTGGATTTCTCTGCGGATCTTCACGACAACATCTAAATTCTTGATTTTCTGCCGATTCAATATTTTAATCGCGACCTTGTGTCCGGTGACCTGATGGGTACCGATTTTCACCTTTCCGAATGTTCCCACCCCCAACGTTTCGCCCAAAATATAATGGCCTATTTTAACCAGTGGCTGGCCACTGTCTTTGCCGTCCAGTGACATGATTTCTTCCCACGATCAGCCAATAGCAAGATAATACCTGGCCGGGAATGGAACGCGGAACAAAGCAGTTATATAAATCCACACCTGACATAACTGAAATGATAAGTTCCCAATTTGAGGTGGAACATGAATTTCAACCTGCACTGACACCAATTTTGGGGGTAAAATCACATTACACGCAAGATTCTCGCATTCACCAAGCCATGGTGCACTACGCAGTTGACGAATTTCGCCCCCTTACTATCAACCGGATGGGAACGACCTTGTAATCTCACATGTTACCTGCTGGACATTTGCGCCGCGCTCTTACCTCAGGGCCGCTCAACTCCACGCCACTCTGCCAGGGGCTGTTCTCTGCGTGAGTCTGACACTCCATAGATTCCAATTTTAAATTTTAAACTCTGTCAATTCTAAATATTTTTCATATTAAACAATAATAAAAAATTGTCAGCCCATATCCGAAGCTATGAATTGAAATTGCTTCCATGTATAGAAAAATGTTAACAATGAATTGACGTTATATAAGCTGCAAAATTTTTGAAAATTTTCTAGTTTTCATTTTTTAAATTCACCAATTATGAATATTTTTCCACGAACAAAGAACCAAAATTATTCAAACTTCAAGACTCACCATGTCTGCAATAGTGAGTGACGGTATAAAATTGAGCCTATGGAAAGATATACAAATTAATTGGAATTAATACAAGAAAATGTTTCCAAAATGTTTACATTTGGTTTGACACTTTTTTGGTAGGGGGAGGGATTGCCAACCCCCCTGGCTGGCACCACCTTTTTCTCCCCTATATATAGCTCATATGTGCCCCAAGCTGAAGAATTTCGAAAAAATTCCCTAAGGAACTCAAACTTTTAATAAGAAAGTATGAAAACTTTCCAAAAGCAGAAAAGAAGAAAGTATTTAGGATTTTAAAAATATGGTATAAATAAATCAAAGCACACTGCACATAAAAATCCTTGCAAAGGAAACCAGATCAAGGGCATTAAAATCCATTGAAAGCACACCATCATTCATCCTACATTAAAAAGAGATCTATATAAGCCAATCCCCAAAAACAGGAAGAGGCAGCTCAACAAATCATGGGGTGGAGAGAATTAAATCAATAAGATTTCAGTTCTACTCTCCGCTGCCTCTGATGTGGTGGACTCAATTACTGTTTTATAATCAAAGATACTTATCTGAGCAAACTTTCAAGATCAGTAAATGTTTGCAGCATTATGTGCCTGGATGATGCAACGTATTTTGTTTTATTTTACGACGATGCTGTTATCATGCAGAAGTTCCAAAACATGCAGTGGGCAGTTACGCACCAGACTGTGCATTATTACTGCATACAGTACTGTATATGCTGTGTAGGAGGTATAGGAGCTATAGCACCGCGAAGCGAAGTAGACCTCGAGGAGCAATTCGTCTTCCTTTGTAGATGCCGCTGCTGAATCAGGCTAATAGGATCCTCGACTATATAACGTGGCTGCCTCTACGATCTGTTACCGTTCGATGAAAAAGCACTAGTCGCCCCGTGCATTTGGGGTGGACCTGGGTTGGACGTGAGCTGTCGAAGCATTACTGTCAAGTTTTATTTGATTGTCTGGAAGAATGTTAATCCCTGGAAAGCCGAGAAGTATATTTTTCGCTGCATCTGAAGTGGCCGATGAAGAAAAATCAGATTTCTCCTGAATATACGAAAAATTGGCTGAATTGAAATTGAATGCGAATTTTCTTATGTGTTAAAGGTCTTGACAGATGAACTCGAGCTCGACGTTGCGGTTTTCCGAAATTAATCGGATTTAGTAGAGTTCGTCACAATTTATTGCTCGCGTGACGGAAGAAGGGTGGTCAAGTCGGCGAACCACTCAGTTCGCGTTTTGTCGAAGGAATGTTGCCAGCGTCCAATTTTGAAGTCCGAGAAATGTCAGAATATTAGTTGCATTAAATCTTCTAGCGTTTTCGTGTACCATGGCGACCTCTTAATTTGTGTAGCCGGCTTAACTACTGGCTGAAGATTTATCCCTAGCCAACTTGAAATTCGTGGTGCACAATTATTGTAGTTCGGAAGCGGAGGACATGATTATTCGTGGTTTTCTTGCGGAGGGTTTGTGTTCGGGTTCCTTGGTCAGGGTGACTTGCACGAAAGAGGCATTGTACCCTGTACTTGCCAAATCATCCAAAGAATGAATAGTCGCTGTAATGCACTGCTCATCGTCGTATGTTCCCAGAGAATGGTTGCCGATGGTGATTTATCGTAATTTTTGAATGGTGCATCGGTTGAAGAAGTTCAATTCGAACAAGCTCTGAAACAATGGCATTAAAGGAGACTTGTTATAACAAGCTCATGAATGAAGTCATTAAGAGCAAAAGCACCGGAAAGTCACGCGATTGGCGATGTCTTGTCGTCGACAAACTTGGCATGAGGATGTTTTCCTCTTGTTTGAAGATGCATGAAATTGCCGAGGAAGGGATCACTTTGGTCGAGGACATTGATAAGGTTCGTTGACAATTTTTTACTCACCGAATCTCTGACGAACGTTTCCTGGCATGTATTTTCAGCAAAGGGAACCGATGCCGTCGATGGAAGCAATATATTTGCTTTCGCCCACTGAAGCGACCGTTGAAAAGCTGATTCGAGATTTCGGCTCTGGTTCTAAAATAATGTACAAAGCTGCGCACGTTTATTTTTCGGAAGCGTGTCCAGAAGAGCTCTTCAATCGGATTTGCCATGCGCCCATTGCTCGTTACATGAAAACCTTGAAGGAAATCAACATAGCATTTCTGCCTTACGAATCCCAGGTATGCACGTGTTTCCTTCTGCTTGACGTTGGGATCATGTCAAGTTTTTTCCGAGATGATTCTGCGGTGTCAATTTTAACCTATATCCTTGATATGTCGATTGTCTGAGGTTGATTCAGTAACGAATTGGTATTTTTACTCTCTCTTGTGTGAGGTGTGCCATTATCAATGGTTGCAATGATGGAAACAGTATTATCGAAGTGACAGTGCGTCGTAAATGAAATGCAATACTGTATAGTAATGTACCTACAATTGATTCATGATTTTATATTTCCTGTGCCCTGACTTTGAAGTCGTATATTCTGGTTTAGTAGAGTAAAGCATCCAAAAAATTGAATGTGAAAAGCAATTCAGAAAATTATCAAAGTCGTAGAGTTTCGATTCTCGTTTGAGATAGGGCGAAGTGGCTTAAACACCAATGAAAGCCAGGATTTCGAACCTGTTTGTACACCTTGATTTCTAAAGGGTGTGAGTTTGACTGAGTTCCTTTTTAAATGTTCTCAGGTTTTTTCGCTGGATAATGCGAAAGCTTTTAGCATTTACTTCAACCCTGCTCAGGCGATGACTCGATCAGCTGCCTTGGAAAGCATTGCGGAGCAAATCGCAACTTTGTGTGCCACACTAGGAGAGTATCCGAATGTGCGTTACCGTTCGGATTTCGACCGCAACGTTGACGTTGCCCAACTTGTCCAGCAAAAACTCGACGCTTATAAAGCCGATGAACCCACGATGGGTGAGGGCCCTGAAAAGGCCCGATCGCAACTGTTGATTCTCGATCGTGGTGTCGACTGTGTCTCGCCATTACTTCATGAGCTAACCTACCAAGCCATGGTTCACGATTTGCTTCATATTGAAAACGACGTTTACAGGTTTGTGAAGCGCCGTTCTGGGCAATTTATCTTGCATCAGACCTTAAGTATCCACTAGTGCGTATTCCGAAGCTTTTCTTGTCTAAATCTTGAGAGTGTATCCGCATCAAATGACGATCTTGCTTTTCGGAAACCATGAAAGTTGCTGTTCTGATTACTTTTCAGAACAAATCGTCGAATCAATGATGAACTAACTTGAGTCAGACAAGCAGTAATACAGTGTGATGTATTTCTGTGTGATGACCGGGAAATTCCGACAGCCCGTGACTAAGCGAATGATTCATCTGACCTTCCGTACTTGATTTAATTTAGAGTTAGCCTTCTCAAGCAATATTTACCGGTACTTTTAAATTCGGAATACGGTGGGACTCAGCATTTACTCGCCAATAAGAAGTACTGCAGTTCAACTCGAACCTGAGCCTGGTTTTCTGAGTTACAATTGAATTACAATTGACGGTCACAGCAAGTGCTACGTACGTTTGAATTTCCAAGACTACTGTACCTAGATCTGTGTGATGTTCTACGAAATCTGACTTGAATGCGATGCGATCGTATTCTGGTCGGATTCATTTTGGTTTCCTGATGTCTCTCGTCGAGTATTTCAGATCAGCATTTAAATTTTTGTGAATTTTCTGTGTTCAACTCCAGGTACGAGGCATCCGCTGGTCAGGATAAAGAAGTGATTCTTGACGAAAGAGACGAGCTGTGGATTTCGCTGCGTCATGAACACATCGCTGTTGTGTCGCAAAAGGTCTCTCAATATATGAAAAACTTCATGGACTCGCGACGAATGGATCCCAGCAAGTCCGACATGAATATGCGTGATTTATCAAAGATGATCAAAGAAATGCCTCAGTACCAAAAGGAGCTTGGGAAATATTCGACGCATCTTCATTTGGCCGAAAGTTGTATGAATACCTACAAGAAGTTTGTTTCGAAGCTGTGTAAAGTTGAGCAAGATCTTGCGATGGGCACGGATGCTGAAGGTGAACGTGTTAGGGACCACATGAAGAACATCGTGCCAGTTCTCTTGGATAAAACTCTTTCGCACGCGGACAAAATCCGCATCATTCTGCTTTACATTCTCACGAAAAACGGGATTTCGGAGGAAAATCTGCTAAAGCTCATGCAGCACGGTGAAATTCCCGCTTCGGAACGATCTACGATAACCAACCTTGGACTGCTGGGTGTCAATGTGGTCGTTGATGGGAACAGGAAAAAGGTGTGGTGTCGCATCGAAAGCGAAACTTCCATTTTGTTGATTGAAATTAACTTGGTTGTTCAGACTCAACTGTTTTTTAATTTCTTCGAGGGTCTTGTTCGCATTAATTTGAAGTTACAAGGTGCATATTGGGAGACCAAGCACGAACATAACATGGTTACTGTACTTGTATTTACTGAAGTACCCTGCAACCTTGAGAAATGCACGCACCCAAATCTTCTATCATACAATTACTGTAAAATGAAATCCTATCCCAAAGTGAGATGCATATCCATTTTAGTGACTAAAAACTACAATGCAGTATTTCGAAAATATGTGGCACCCCAATTCAATTTTGAACATGAATTCATACTGGATTCAATCATCATTTGTCAGTTATTATCAAATATTCCTCATTACGCTCAAGTGTGACGCTCACCTGAACTTATAACATGTTCTGAAAATTGTATCCCCTCCTATGACGGGCACCCCTTTTTTCCTTAAAATGTTTAGGGAAAAGGCGTGTGTTGTACTGGAGTAATATGGTAATTGTATCTCCCAAGTAAGACCCACACCAGATTTTTAGTGCCTCCGAAACAGTAAAACCACATTATATCAAAAATGAGAACACCCAAATTTGAATATAGACATGAATTGCACTAATTTTCAATTCCATTGAAAAGGCTTCTTCTGTTAAACCTGGTCCATAATTTTCCATTAGAATCACATGCAATGCACACCCAAACTTCTAAAACTGTTCGGAAAAATGTATACTTTACCTGCTCATGACATGCACCCCATTTTTCCTCTCAAATTTGAAAATAAGGTGCGTCTGATACCAGAGTAAATATGGTATGTTACTTGCAGTTCAATATTGTGACTTTTGTGGTTCAGTTTAACAAAGAATTAATCAACACGGCTTGATGGTTTTTAATACGTTTGAGGACTATAATGTTGCCTTCTTCAAGCTATGAATGTGTGATGAATTACACAATTACCTTTGTAATTAAAAAAAATATATTCTTTTTAGGTTTACCAACCTAGTCGAAAGGAGCGTATCACTGAGCAGACGTATCAGATGTCTCGCTGGACTCCACTTCTGAAGGATATCATGGAAGATGCTATTGAGGACAAGTTGGATAAAAACCATTTTCCATACCTGGCTGGAGGCCGAGCATCTGGCAGTTCCTACCGATCCGCCCCGACAAGTGCCAGGTAAACTTTTGTCCACTGCAACTTGTCTTGATTAAAGTGGTCATTTACTACAGCAAAAAAAAAAAAAAACATTCGCAAATTTTCGTCGAATTATTTGCCCCATGTTCCTCTAGTATTTTTGAACCACTATAATGATGTGGAAAGTATGTAGTACTGTATACTAAGTGCCTGAAAATTCTTCTGTTCGGTGAGGCATTTTTATTTCAACGTTTACTTTTGTGAAGTTTAATACATACAGGGCCCGTTAGGTATATTTTTCGCGTTTTCAATCAATCAACCATAGACGGCTGTATTGCTTGTCCGCAGATGTTTGATTTTCTCGTGAAGGATATTGCAATATTTCACGTGATCCTTTTCCTCAGAACAAACTACATCTAAAAATTTCCTCGTGCACTCTCTTGATTCATTTATACTGTAGTAAAAAACGAGTTTTATTCTTGTTAATGGAACGACAAAAACATCGACAACAAGGGATAGATTCTGTTCTTTCCTAATGAACGGAATTAGTCATCAGTTGTTCGGCTTTTGGAGAATGACTTTCGAAATTTTGTTCGTGGTCTTCAAAAATATTTTTGTGACGCATTTCTGAACTAAGTAGTACCGTATTTACTTGAGTACTTTGTTAATTTTTTTCCATAAATTGAGGAGGAAGAATGTACGTGGTACTCAGGGATACATTTTTAAGGGAAAAATTCCCAAAACCAGTGCTGCTCACACCCATGTGAGTACATCTAAGCATTAAAAAAGGAAATGTGTGGCACCAAGTCTTCTTGTCTTTTGGAAATGATGGTTCAAGCAATAATAATTTTAGGAATGTATTAGTTGGAGGCGCAACAGGAAGTTATAGGATAGGTAAAAATATACATATAATTGAGGAAGCTGTCGTATGCAGGATTGCATGCACTTTTCAACTGCTCCTGCTGACAATAAAGAACAGGGAAGACAAAATTTGAATGGGGATGTACAATAAGAGTTCGCTATTATTGACTTTCAGCAAAAACACGGGGGTGCGGGCCATACACGGAGATAGGTTTCTGGCTAAATTTCTCACGAAAAAAAAAATTGGGGTTCGTGTCTCACTCGAGGGCACGTGGTACTCAAGTTAATACGGTACAGTACTTCCGCGTGCAGATTTTTCAGAAATTTTCCTCTGAAAAGGCGTGTGCGCGCCTTACATATACAAGATGTGTTCTAAATCTTTTGGTGGTTTTTTTTCACACTTTTGATGGATTTGAGACATTCTCGTCTTCCGAACAGTAAACGGGGTGAGTGCGGTAGTGAAAGAAAAATAAAAGTAAGGAGGATCTGAAAAGGTTGGAGACGTGCCATCCCGGACTCAAACGCGTGGAATAATTTTATTCGAACCTTAATGGAGAGGTAGAAGGATGAATTTCAAGCGTAAAGTTTCGATGTCTGACGTTATTTGAAGCAGTATCTCTTGATCGATCGTAATTTTATGGTATCGGGTTTTTCTTCTCGTATCAGGTATGGACAGTGGCACAACGACAAATCCCAAGCGAAGGTGAAAAACGTCCCGAGGTTGATAGTGTTCGTTATCGGTGGCATCTCCATGTCTGAAATGCGCACTGCCTACGAGGTGACCAAGCAAGCTCTCAACTGGGAAGTTCTTATCGGTGGTACCTCGGTTTTGACGCCGGAAACGTTTCTCAGGAATCTCAAAGAGCTCGATGCTCAAGTTTGAGCGGATTCCACGAGAAGCTTTGTTTGTCCTCAGTTTTTTCGTATTTAAGTGGATTTTTTTATTGTATTCGCGTTCACGCTTCTGTTGCTGGGGAAAAATACGTAGGGTTTGGAATTTTTCTGCTTCCTCTCGACATCTTTCCTGAGGCTCGTTTGATTGAGCCGAGGCTTTGTCCGGTGAGTGGAAAAAGCTGACTAGTTTTTTGACAGCGTCTTTTGTTGGATAGTTGGAATAATTGAGAAACCGAGGATTTCGTCCTTCCGTAAGCTTTAATGCAAACAGTCGACAAGTACGTATCGTCTACAGTCTACATCTACACAACTTCCTTCACCATTGCAACTTTCATATGCAGCTCGACATGGTTGAAAGCATCAGATTTGGAAATTTAATGAGTTTGTTCGGATGTTTTTTTCTGTTACGTTTTAAGATTTGAATCAAATTTATGGTCCTTGTTCATACAATGAGTAAGTAACGTTTCAAGCGTCAATATTCTTTTTTCCATAGAATGATTAGTTTTTTGGCGTTACCATTCCCATGTTTGCTGATTCAAAACCGGGAACCAATGAACGTTGAACATTCCTCGAGAGGTACATTTTTTTAAATGAGAAATGTTGATAGTTGTTTCGTTTCAATTCGATTGACTTGGGTTCCTTTTTGTGATTTGATCGGAATCGTTTCTTGGTTACCCCAGTGCATGACGCATTTTGATTCCAGAACTTACTGTTTATTCAGAATATTCTACCCGGGTTCCGTCGAGAATTTCCGGGGAGTGTGAGTGAGAATCATGTTGCTCTGAGATACGAAGTTTGCATAGAGGGCGATCGAAGATTGAACCATTCATCAAGAACATTTTGCGACTTTCATTTAAGAAGGCCCGGGCTAGATTTTTGCCCTGGGACTCGGTATATCAATATTGCCATCCATTTACTCACCCGCAACTGATAAAACCATGACAACCATGGTCCACTGAATATGTGGTAGTGAGGAGACAATTTTTCAACTATTTCGGGTTGACGAAAAGCGTTTTTTTTTTGTGTGTGTCGCGTTCAGGTGCTGGCAGAAGAAGTTCCGAGTGCTAATCGCGACTGCCAATTTTGTCCTAATGGCTGCGTTGTTTCGTGCGGTTCCCGATTCCTGTCCCTTTTTTCTTTTTCACCTCCCCCTTCTCGCACGATTATTTTGTCGTTCTTTCGAAATTTTTCGTTGTTTCGTTCGAGCCGATATTCCTGGAAAAAAAGCGGTCAATTGGACGATTGTTGTGAAGCGGTTCACTAGAAAAGCGAGGTTTACAAACAGTTCTTATAGCGGCGCGGTGACTTGTTGATTATTTTTATTCGTTTCTTTTAAGTTTTCAGTTCGCAAATGAGTTGTTCTTTTTGGGATGGAATTGAATCCGCGAATTTTTCGTTGTGTGGAAGGCTGATGAGCATTTGGGGGTTTTTCTCATCGAATCATGTTTTTCAATACAGCTCTAGTCACAGCATGAATTTTATTTCCCCGAAGTGAAATCATGGTATGATAGTCAAACGAAAAAAAACATCTGAATTTGATTGCTATAGTGGTTTTGCAGATCACCTGTTAGCTTTTGTTTCTGAGCTGGAAATACAAGCCAGCAGTGGCAGTGAAACCGAGTGACGTTCGCCTGAAGACCTGGATATCATTTCATCGGATTCGGAGAGTCCTTTTCTTAAGCTTGTGATGTGTGTTCCAGGAAGAAAAAAAACAAAATCAGTTAGTTGACAACTGAAGATGACTTCCGCGTTTTTCAAGTACGCGGAGTTGATCAAGAATAACTCCACGTACGCCAAGAGGATGATGCAGTTGAGTAAAAGCATATTTGCGGAATATCCGCATCCCTTGACGACGAAGTCCAAGCGAATCGTGCGACGGTTTTCGAAACAACCGCAAGAATTGAAAGATGAAGTGGTGAACTGGTGGCCGAGGCATCCGGAAACTTGCAAGCTCATGTACACTCTGAGGGACTACGGACTTTACCGGTGAGGCGTCATGAACATTTCTGAAGTCATGTTCTCGCGACTGTATAACTTTTTATTTCTTGCTTTCGTAGTGATGAGCATGAGGATTTCAAGGAAGAGATGGTTAGACTGCGTATCTTGCGTGGCAAGCTGAAGCCTACGAAAGGGGAAGGGAACCAGTCGAAGGCAAAGTGAAACAAGAGTCATGCATTGCTGTGCATTTATTGTGATTTTGATGTTGCGTTGATAAATTCATAGTTGAGCGTTATTTAAAACCCACCGACTGCTGTTTTTGTCTTTGTTGGTTCATCTCTACGTAGAGTCAGATTGCTTGTTGTACAGTATTTTTGACTGAAGAGTGTGAACCTGATCAATGCTCAGAATCAATTCCGGAAATCCAAATCAGGGGATTTGTGGAAATTGGTGTAAAAACTTTTCTACCGAACTGTCAATGTGTAATGCAGTAAACCTCTTGGAGTCAAATTTCAAGGTACCAGCCAAAAAGTTCAAGTTATGGAGGTTTGGAGTACAGGAAGCAAGCATTTTTGTTGGGATTGAAAGAAGAATTATAGGAAGTTGTAACTGATAATATACAGGATCTTGAAATGCTTAAGTAAGTTGACAGAATGTGAACCTTGGAGGAAAGGGTCCATTTGTCCAATTAGTGTTTCACTTCTTTCCAAAACACATTGTTACACTTTAATTGCTTCTCTCTTTCCTGTGTCAATGAAATGATAGCCAGAAGGCCAACAGAACATTCAAGTTAACCAGATTTTAGGGGGAAGTCTTTGAGCTAGGAAGATTTTTAATGCATTCTTTTTAAAGAAGTTCAGAGAGGTAATTTGAAAAATTGGCTTAGTACTGTATTTTATTTGGGTAGATTTGAGTTATTGAGGTTCAAATGCAATTAGGATGTTTGTCTGGAGTGGGTAGTAATTTGCATTGATTATCTGCTGATTCAAAATCCTTTTTTTCTGATCCTCCTTGTTCAGCTCAGATCAAAAGATGCCTGAGAAAGAAGTAAATTAGAGAAGAACCTGTTCACAAATTACGTGGAAAAATTAATGAATGCATTTCTGTGCTTTCATTGTTATGAAGGTGTCAAAACTTAGAATAGCACGTTTCTTTTTTGTTTATCCCCGAAGAGGATTTTTGCATAGATCCAGCAAATATAATCAAGAATTGAAAAAACATTTGGGCCCAAGTGCAGCCACAAATTTTTCCATGAGAATTAACTTCGGGAGACTTCCCAGAGTTGTTATGACACTGTTCCGCTCCCATTCCTTTCTGAGAATCTATTCGAAGCTCTCATGTTGCACGTGATGTAATCCTGTCACACGAGAAGGAAGTGGGAATTTATCTTACAGGGAACCAACCTTGTATTCCTGAAGTACTATCAGGACATATTGAAACTCTTATTGTTCTCATTGTTGCGTGTTGAAATAATACACTACTGTTGATGTAATCACAATCCAGTACATATCTGCCGTAATCACCTCACATTCAGAATACTGTACTGTAGTTGACCTTTACTTCGAAAATGCACAGTAAGAAGGCCATGCATCAATCGTCGACCAAGACTTCGCCTTGACTTTTCCCAAAAAATAAAATATTTTATGCATGGGTTTTGAGGAGGGTGCAATATACANAAATAAAATATTTTATGCATGGGTTTTGAGGAGGGTGCAATATACAGTGGCACCCCAGCGTATGGAAACAATTTGACTAGGGGACACTTGGAAGTGAACAAATCTGCTCCTGACATCCAGATAAGAACGACTCAAGATTCAGACAATTTCAAATATATTTTTTTTCTAAATTTCCGGTAAAAAAAGAAGTTGGGCTTTTTAAATTCACAAAATCGGAGCATACATTCCATTATAAAATTACCTTAATTTGTAATTCAAAGCAGACTAATGTGATTTTCTTTGGAGTTTTTTCTACAATTTTTTCCCTCTATAGCTATACTTGTTCTTGTTCAGTTCTTAATCAAAGCTCCTTCTGGTGCCAAACGACAAAATTCTGTGTGGTTTTTCTGCACTGTTATTTTCTGTATCTTGAGGTTGAAAAACAAAATGATTCAATATTTTGGGACATACATGGTTCATAGAGTCCATGCCACCATCTTAAAAAAGATTTCATTCTACTCAGACAGCCATGATGCGATGATGCTCTTCTATAATGAATGCTTTTTATGTTGTATCAATATCTTTGTTGCTCCGAGATTATCAAAATGAGTTTTAATGGTTTTTGAATACATGCATTTGCTAGAGGTTCAAATGCTATACTGTACAGTACTGTGCTGTTCTTTGTTTGATGCTGTAATCAGGAATGCGTAACATCTGCAGATATACAAAGCTATACTATAGTGTAGAATCTTATTATTGCAACAAATCTGTTTTTCAGGTCTCAATAGCCAATATAATGTTATTACAATTTTAAAGAACGATTTCATCAGTGTACGGCCGAATACTGTTATAGAAAAAGTGATTGATTACAATAGTGAATTATTTAGGTTAGTGAATTATTCCAGTCGCCAGAATCTAATTTTAATATTGTTGCAAAAAATGTTTGCTTATACTGTAAAAGGTATTTTCTAGGTCGCAAATGCTTTGTTTTAACTTGCAACGAACTTCTAATAAAATAGTTTTTTCCGTCAGGCCCAAAATATCACAGCTTTCTCTGAACAATTATAAGGCTTTACTCTATACAGTATGCATTTTCATGCTGAAATATTAATCTTCTGCATATTAATGTTCTGCATTAATCTTCAGAGCATTAGTCACCTGCAATAACTACATTCATAACCCTGTTACTTGATTCAACTGTGATGATCTTCATGTACTGTATTCAGCAGTTGACGTTACACCGCCAATCAAGATTCAAGCCAAGGTAAAATTAATGACAAATTGACTTTGAAAGTTCAAGTCCATCTTTTACTTGCATTTCTTGGCCGAACATACGACATGTGAAGAGCACTTTGGCAAATCTCATCCAAGACTCGGGGTTCCATCAATCACAAATCCCGTATTTACAAACAGTGGTAAATTCATAAAGAAAGGTACAAAAAGTGGCTTATTCACAGAAACCATGGGATGCATGCGTTTTGGCAAATATCCAAGTCTGCACATGGCAACTTCATCTCCTGAAAGACTCGCAGAACTTGGAGAAGAAAACACTGCCCATTAGCTAACAGGGACTGCTGCTTATATCCTCTATAAAAGGGGACTGATTGGTCATCCAACAATTGATTGATTCCGCAGCCATCATCATCAAAACGCGCAAATGTGGACAAAAGTTGCGCAGGTCTTCATATGCATGGATTTTTCCTGCCTGTATAATGAAAGGCAACTTGCTTAGAAAATTCTAAATTTTTCATTTTGACGCGATGGTTTCTTTCACATTACCGCATGTTAAAGTATTTGAAATACTTCTGGAATTCTGGACTATAAGCAGAAGGAAGGATTGGGGACAAACTCCTAAAATGATGAGGAAAACTGTTTCAAATCCTCATGAATGCTGACAATAAGCAGCAAATAAATCATGCTTATCAATCAATCAATCAAAAGACTCTCTTTTGACATCAGATTTTAGGTACTTTCCTGTTATCTTAGTACCTCATTCCTAGACTTTACTACCATCCAGACAAATCTTTAGGACAAGTTCATAATCACAACAACCTACCATAAACTTTGAATTTTATTTTTCTGCATTCTGCTGAAACTGATTTT